GTCGTTCAACCGCCTTCAAATGAGCTCCTTAAATCGTGGAATGTGATAATCTGCCCGATAACTGTTTCAGTAACTACTATTCTGAATTACCATAATATCTCATGTGTTAAAATTCTGGGCGACTCGAAGGTTCGGGCAAGAACGAGGTTATCGCTCTTGGCCACCGTAAGGCACTCCATTCGCTCAGATTATGGGCGTCTTGCAAGTTTGGGCGATGATGTTACTGTGTTCGTGGGCTTCCTTTGCATTCACCAATAACCTTATTTGGGCATTTATCCTGAACTCCCCAATTGGACCTCACTTTTTGGGATATTTAATTTGGGCTGCACTTTTAGTGTGTCAACAAATTCAAATTGAAAAAGGTTGAAAGCACTGGAAAAAAATACAGATTTTCTACATAATTTTGAATTCCATTCACATGGGGTGATGGGGCCCACATGAATTAAATATTGTTAAAAAAATCGAGGCCCGCCTGTTATGTGTATTCTGTCCATTTTCTATGGATAATTTCCTGTACCCATAGCATTACACATTCAAATTCAATCATTCCTTGGAAAAGCCGAAAAATTCTCTTGGCGTCATTAATTTATTAATTATTATTTATTGTATTAGTTGAGTCCTAATTTTACGTGCAGATTGTAATTTGCTAATTTATTGTTATTAGTGGACGTGCAGTTAGGTTCCAATTTATTTATTTTTTGCAAAGTGGGTGTCTTTTTACCTATTAAGGTTATTAAATAATGCAATTTGCGTCCATTTTTCAAATTTAAAGTGTCGTGTTCTCATTATTATTATTATTTCATATTTTCGTTGACATTTTTCTTTAGTTATAGAANNTTGACATTTTTCTTTAGTTATAGAATTAACTTTTTGTCTCCTATTTGCTTATTAATTAAGTTGAAGCTTTAAATGCATAATGTGGACAGACGGATTTTATTATGTAGTGAATGAAATTGGATGCGTTTATCCCAAGTGCTTGCAATGAATTTTCGATTTGCTTGGGTTTCCATTGTGGATAGATGTGTTTAAATAAGGATGTGTATGCCTTAGAATTATTAATGTCTCGTTTACAATTTTATAATTTATAATCATTGCTCTGTTGCACATTTGTTGAAATAAACTTATACTGGATTGTCCTAAATCTACAACCTGGAAATCGACACCACTTCGAGAAGTTTAGTAGCTAAAACTCAACCAAGTTAAAATATAGAGAGCAGTAAAAAACGTCTGTCAAATTATAGTAATCAATAAAAGACGTCTTGCTTACCTGGACTTTCCCTCCTTTCTGATGGACATTCAAACAATAATGGGAAGCCACATGTGAAAATCTTCTATCAAATCAGCTATTCTGTTAGAGAGGCGAAACGAAAGTGATTCCAATAAGTAATGTCCAACACTTTGAAAAGTTTAGTAACCAAAACTCAATAGATTAAGGTATAGTGAGCAAAGATGCACGGCTAAGTTTAGCGAGCATTGGAAAAATTAACTCCCAGAAAATTTTCCTCTATCAAAACCCTAGTACGGCCTATCAACTTCTTTCTCCAAAGAACGAGTAATGATATTCATCCCCACTAAGGTTAAGCACCAGTTTAGGTGGTAATTACATGACACTAAATGATAAATTCATTTAAATGTAAAGTCACGTGACTCATTTAATTGAACATATAACGTGTTGTCACTAAGACCGATGCTTAACTCCAGTGGAGAAGAATAGCAATACTCTTTTTGTTTTGCTAGGCGTTCGTCTATTGCGGGTGGCAAGTTCGTTAACATTTTTCCAATTCCAAATGACTCCAGCTAAAGGTGGCTTTGCACAAGCACGGCTATGGATTTTAGGTTCATAATTTTTTCGAGCATTTAAATGCAATGCAAAGAATTGTATTTTGTGATGTTGTACTCTAAATGTTATCGAATGTATAACTCACCCAATCTTATTACTGCTTAGTATATTTAAAAATGTCTTTGCTGTCGATGGTCAGCTATGTTAGGCCCTTCTATGACCTAAGTCGGCCGGATGGACTAAGAATGCTTATGTAACGGTTGACACCTAACCTTGATGCTTTGGATGTTGCAAACTTATACAAGTACATGGCTCTCCAGGTTTATATTGGTGATTTTTTTGGTAGAATTTTACTAGAGGCACTCAGATTATATAAAACTTCGTTGTAGAGCGAAAAGCTTTTTATCTAAACGTTTGATCTTCCAATACGTTCATGAATATGTTAAACTGTATATGTTACGCCTCATCCATTGAGACTCCAAATATTGACCACACGGCAACCACTCAAGAAGTTAATATAGGCCCGCACTCCATGTCAACATCCTACCTTGTC